CCTCAAAATTCACATCACCCTATAACACCAAAACAATTCTCTTCTGACACTCTTGTTCCCATGAACCACGCTCCTGGGAAAGCCCACGACGAAAGATATTTTTCGCTTTCTGTGGCTTGTACTTTGGCTTTCGGGGTTGGAAAGAACGCTCCCCATAGTGCGCGATTAGCCCTTATGCCTTCTTTATTGAGGCATTAATTCTTCTTCCACTTCATCCTCCACGTCCATATCGTTCCCCACGCCTGCAAAGGTCACGTGTGCTTCGCTTCGTCCTTTGCAGATCGGACCGTACGTGGTTCCCAACAACGGAACGAGGCAGTCGTCCGCCGGATGTGAAGTAATTAACGGGGTTCCCCTGTCTACCCCAAAGTTGTGCGAGCAGTGGTATGCCGGATTGCGGGGTCCGGCGGTGTAAAAGAAGACCACCTGCACCGCCTTTGTGTGGAACAGCTCGTTCGTGTATTCGAAGAGCCTGTTCAGCGCATAACCGCGACCGATGCCGACAAATCCGTTTAGCCGTCGTTGCGCGTGTGCGATGGGGAAGTGGTCGGTCACCACCGCCGTGGGCCATTTAAATTTGCGCCGCTGTCGACGCTTTCTTCGCGGGCGATGGATGCGCCTGGAACGGTAACACCCCGGCGTTCGAGGTGTTGCAGCAAAAGATGAATCGCCCGGGGTTCCGCGTGTGCCGACTGGCGTGCGTTGAACGTGTCGCTGCTCCGGAGAACTTGTCCTTCTCTTCCTCCTCGGTGTCCGAGTTGTTGCCGCCCGTCGGAAGCCAGGTGCCGCCCTCAAAATGCAAACCGAAACGCAAGGTATGCGCCACCCGATCGATCAAGGAGCGGGGGCTCGCGTCATGTTCAAGGCGTCGGGTCCTTCCTTTTCCGTTGTTTCTTCTGCTGCGGCGCTGCTGCCTCGGCCCTTCTTCCTGACGATGATGTAACCTCCGTGGCCGATGCCCATCTCCGTGAAGGGGCGGTCTGTCGGGAGCGGTGCGTTGTGGATCTTTTTCTCCCTCACCGTGTGGAATAACACGTCGGGCAGCGCAATAGACCCGCCAAC